AAAATCGTTTTCTTGGGGCTCATACAACTCTTATCACAGTCCATCCATCCATTGTGTCGAGCACATTTATACATTTGTTGCCATCATCATAGAAACAGAAAGTATATCCCTTGTATCTATGTGTTAAGTGAGACCGATCAGATCCCTAGTGGGAACTTGAATATAATCTGTAAGGTGCCTCACTGTGTGCCCATCTCTGCTTACCACCGCTGGAATTTTGATAACCTTTTGGAAAAGATCTGGGACTACCTGAAACTAGTGAGGATTTACACCAAACTCAAAGGCCAGTTACCGGATTATACTTCTCCAGTCGTGCTGCCCGACTCCAGGACAACCATGAAGAATTTCTTCATGAAGATTCACAAAAGTCTTTTCTTTTTTAGTCATTCACCAGGTATATTTGAAGTCTAAGCTCTTTGAGCTGCACACGTGCACAAATGATTCAGTTGCTGGAAACCTCCGCCCCGCTTCCATTTTCAACCAGTGCCCAAGAGGGTTGTGTATGCGCATCACGGAGAACACAGAGGCAGTGCCAGCTGTCACAGTGCTATGAATTGTCCCTGAAAACATCCCAAGGAGTCTTCAGGTATCACCTGGCCCAAGCGCCCCTTCAGACCTTCCTCAAACCCAAGAATTACTTGATCTGAGATAAGTTCACACTGTTGCTTTGCAATAAACTTCACTAACACTAAGCGCTGACTTCATTTGATGACCACACAAGATGGCCATGGTCAAGGATACTAAAATTGGTTGCCAATGTCAAAGATGTGTGGGCGGTTTATTTTTTATTACTAAAAATAATTTCCACACGTGTTCTCACAAAAATCTTATTAAAAATCTAAATACAGGAGGACCGACAACAGAAAAGTGGGTGAAGGGAGACATCGGTCAGTGTAAGACATGAAAAAGAATAACTTATAGATTATCAAGGGTTCATGAGAGAGGGAAGGTGAGGAAGGAAGGGGAAAAATTAGCTAATACCTAGGGCTCAAGTAGAAAGAAAATGTTTTGAAAATGATGATGGCAACAAATGTACAAAAGTGCTGCACACAATGGATGCATGTATGGATTGTGATAAGAGCTATATAGCCCCCAAAAAATGATTTAAAAAAAATTTTTATTAAGCTCTGGTAGGGGGTCTCTCTGTGAAACAATCCTTAGAAAGCTCACGCTTCACTTCAGGCTGTGAAGAAGTGAAATCCTCCCATTTCCCTACTGCCAGGCCAGCCCAGCAGCACCATTCCACATGACCAACCCCCTGCCCCAAGCCCCTTCTTGGTTTTGGCAGCTGCTGGATCAGAATCAGGGGAGGGAAATGCAGCTCCCCAACTATCGCGGTGTCACCCTCTATGCATGTTGACGTGCATAAAGGACCTGGTCTGCGTGAAAGAAAAAAAAAAAGAAT